GATCATCATCAGTGCTCCTTGCTGTATATACTAAACGTTTACCAAAAAACTTTAGTGAGAAAAATCGAAAAAACGAACTACAAACATATTAACGCCAAACATTCGGTAGAATTTATAGAATATTGTAAAAATTATGGTCTATTATCAACATTTATAACAAAAAATAAATGTACTCTTAAACAGACATACAAACATTTAGAATTCGTTTAACTTTTCGTAATTGTAATCAATTCTTATATATATATATATATATATATATATATATATATATATATAAATAATCAATAGCTAAAAATTTATTTGACATGCGTATTTAAAAAATTTGAATTGAAATTATAAATTCTACTCTAACTCACTCACTGACACACACACAACGAAGCAATGGCGGGTAACATCATCCCAGCTATAGCGACGACAAATGCAGTAGTGGCCGGTCTCATAGTGCTCCAGGCCTTCAAAGTTCTTTCTGGAAAATTCGAGATTTGCAAAGACGTTAGTAGAGGCTGTAGTAGTGGCTGTAGTAGTAGTAGTAGTAGTAGTAGTAGTAGTAGTAGTAGTAGTAGTAGTAGTAGTAGTAGTAGTAGTAGCAGTAGTAGTAGCAATAGCAGTAGTAGTAGTAGTAGTAGTAGTAGTTGTAGTAGTTGTAGTAGTAGTTGTTGTAGTAGTAGTAGTAGATGCCTGTACTAGTTGTGGTATTGGTAGTAGATAAGTGGTATTAGATAAAGTGGTTGTAGTAGTAGCAGCAGTAGCTATGTGTTGCTATTCGTAATTGTTTTTACGAGACAGCTGACAATACACACCTGAACAGGTATACATCAATCAAATACCAAACCAGAAGAAGAAACTTTTAGTACCTTGCTCCCTCGAGAAGCCCAATCCTAAGTGTTACGTCTGCTCTGATAAGAGAGAGGTAACGCTGAAAGTCGACGTTGATAACTTTACTGTTAAGATGCTGGAGGAGAAGGTTGTTGTTCGGTTGTTTGTTCGTTTGTTTGTTTGATGTTGTTGGGGCTAGTGTTGATTATATTGTTGGTGTTGTTGATACTGTTTTATTGGTATTTTTTATTGTTTAAGTAAATGTTTAATTATTGATTCTCCGTAGGTTCTTAAAGGTCCCCTTGGAATGGTAGCTCCTGATGTCGAAATTGATGATGGCAAAGGTTGAATATTGAACTAATTTAGCTGTTTTTGATTCTTTATAACATCTGTAATGATTTTTGGAATGACGTTTCAAATGATTTTAAATGATCTTCCAAGCAACTTTCTGAATTGCTCATTAAAAGGGATGAACTTTGAATGGTTTTCTGAATGAAGTTCAAATATCAACATTAATTTTTTTTTCTCTCTAAGGTACAATAATGATATCAAGCGAGGAAGGTGAAACAGAAGGTTGTCATCATTATAATATTATCATTATATTATTATTATTATTAATTATTATTGAGATTATTAATATTATTTTATTGTTGTTGTTAATTATGGTTATAATATAAATCGCAGATAATTGGGGCAAATTTTTGTGTGACCTTGGCATTCAAACTGGAGTTAGATTGAAGTGTGACGATTTCCATCAGGAGTACAATATCGTTGTTAACATTTTGCATTGGTGAGTATTCGTGATGATGATGTTTCATTCATTTATTCATTCTTTCGTTCTTTCATTCGTTCATCCATTCGTTCATTCATTCATTCACTCATTTATTGATTGTTGCATTGATCTACATTGGTATCAACGTAGCACTGAGCTGAAAGACAATGTAGAATTTGAATTAGTGGGGGATGTCAGTGAACTACAAAAAGATCTCAGACCGGCGTCATCGTCTACGTCATCATCAGCAGTTAAACAAACCGGAAATGGTGATGCTATGGAGAATGGAGGTGATGTTAGTACTGCTAAAGATGGCCATGAAGCTATAAGTTGGTTACTTAGTTTATTCATTCATTCATTCGTTCATTCATTCGTTCGTTCGTTCGTTCGTTTATTTTAGTACAAGCTTCCGACAAAAATGATGATGAAGACGATGACGACCTCGAAATTCTGGAGGAAGGAAGTGATAATGATGTCGTTTGTGATGAGGATGATGGTGAGAAAAATAACGGCCAAGATACAGACGTCAATTCCCAATCGATTAAAAGTAAACTTAAATCATTGGACCCCAGTGCAAGGAAGAGAAAACGAACCGGCGATGACGTCAGCGGAGATGGCAATTCAGACATGAGATCAGTCGAAAGTAAACTTAAAAAAATAATTGGTGACGTTGATGGTGACGTCATTGATGATGGCGATGATCAAAATTCAGAAGCTAATCATGTCATGATGATTGACTGAGGTGATTAAAATGATTGTGTTGATGATTAAGATGGTTGTGATGATGATAATGGTTTAGATGATGATGATTGAGATGATTGCGATGATGATAATGATTAAGATGATGATGATGATAATGCGGACCATTGTTTCATGTTTGTAGTTGAATAAATCATTCTTCATTGTTTCTCTTGTTTGGTTAGTTGTAGTAATTTGTTAATAATAATAATAATGATGATATTATTATTATTATATCGTTTTAAATAATGTTATTGTCACAGTTGATTATATGTAATCGTTATTGTGAGCGTAGTCTTAATAACAACATAAAATGATGAACTGAGAGAACAATTGAAGTAGCTATATGACAAACAGTTGCCGAAACTATGATTGATTCTGTCAATTTTTTTGTTTTGATTAACAATCTAACATTTTCACCAATGTTTTTGACAACAAAGAGATGACTAAACAACTTTTTAGTCTAATTTGATACTAATTCATCGTTTGTTTGTTTACGTCAAATAAATTTATCAATAGTTTTTTTTAAAGTTTTACCAGTCGAATTTAGTTTTTAAGCGAAAATTGCATCCAGCTGAAACGAAACCATCATTGAAATGGACCTCTGTGTCCAAGAGTTCTATATTCGGTATCGATTTGATTTTCAGGCCTGTTTTTCCGCGCAAATTGATTTCGGTTATTACCGCAAACCTTAGAACGAATCCGGAAATTTTGGACATAAGGTAGCTCGGTATCCAGCTTATGTAAGATCTTTCTAGCTGGCTGTTGAAGGTAAAGTTGCCCACGTGCCAGAATACTGTTGATGCATCTTTTGTGATGTTTATACTCACGACTAAAGACGTATTCACTGCAAACGTGAATAGATCGACTAACGAATTGTTCGGAAATCTTGCCTGGAAATCTATTGTCAGGTTTTTTACGGATATTAAAATTCCATCTTTTAAAATTTTCCCATCAGGAATTTGCTCGGAGTTGATGGTAATTTCCACGAATGAATTTGGGTAAAGTTTGCCAAGTTGCGGTATAAAGAAGGCAAAGCATTTGAAGGTTAGGCACGTTGTGTTTAAGAATCCGTCCATGTATTTTGGCAGGTCGTTCTTTGTGACCACCCTCCTCAAATAACTGGACTGCTTCAAGGAGTAAACTAACGAATTGATGAGATTTTGACTGACGGTTGCATCTGCCATTCTGTCGCTCGCTCCACCACTTCTTTTCTGATCCATCTGGCATATCACAGAAACAAGATAAAATACATTGGGCACACAATTTACTTTTTAAAAATTTCCAATGTAATTTGGGGTCATTTCATAGTAATGAATGAAAATGTTTAAGATTTATAAATTGAAACCGTACCTGGGGCAGCCTGTTGAATAGCTTATTGGTTTCGACTGCGCTGAACTGACCATTCAAATAAAAATCTACAGAACCATCATTAATCGCTGGCGCATCGTGAAGCTGATAATCGAACGTCAGAGAACTGGTGACGCTGAAGTGCATCGGAAGTTTCAGCAAGTATTTGTTTAAAACTGACGTTCTTATTTGCTCGAATATTGCACATGGCTGGTTGGCCGATTTTTCTATATTATCTTTAATGAGATCGTACAACCAACTGACCTTGCTGTGAATGTCCAAGTCGACATCATTAAATTTTCCAGCACAGTTCATCGTGTTTATCTGCAACTTGCCATCTTGTGTCTTCACAGGACTGAGATAAATGGAAAGAACTAAACCACTGAGTTTGGCGTCGAACGATCCGTGGTCCGTTATGTCGATGAATCCGATTTTGTAACGATATCTCCAGTTGCCAGATAAGCGAACCAACATGTCACTGATTTGGATTTTTACTCCTTCCTTAAGCACCAGGTGAACGTTGAAACTCGGTTGAATCTCATTAACCACCTGTTAATGTTGAACACGATCTCAACTCTAATTAATTTGCACGTTTTTATGTAATTTTCATGCATCAATTCAAAGTAAATATATTGAAATTTAAAAACCCGCATGTTGGTCAGATCGTAAGTGACAGTACCACCTGCTGCTTTCGTCGACCCGGAAATTTCTGGAAGCGTGATCTTAACCAACTCCTTTGCTCCAAACTTGACGGCAGCATCGGCCAGATGGAAAAGTCCCTCACTTGACAAACTAATTTTTAATCCGGCGTCTTCTGAAATCATACCATCCACGCAAAAAGCGATTTTCAACAGCACCATTTGCAACATAAAACATTGCATTTCGTTAAACTTTTTCATTAAATAAATTAACTAGTGGTTTTTAACCGTTTTTTAATAGTTACAAACTTTTAAAATTTTCTAAAAAATTGCAAACTGCCAATAAAAAACTTGTAGTGCCGTTAACAAATAAAATAAATACAAGGTTCAATAAAATAATGAATTAATGGTATTATTCAAACACAAACAGTATGCACACTGCTGCCTCTATAGGTAAGCTGATTGAATAAGAGGCTTCACAATTGTTTAACTATTCCACCATCTACAAAACATTTAATATAGGTTTTGGGTTTTCACAAATAGATTACAGTCGAACAATTAAATCAATTAGTGCAAGTAATTGCAGGCGAAACTGTTTGAAAAAACAAAGTTTCGTTTTCGCTGCATGATTTATAAATAGCTAAAATTGTCAACTTGTTGGAAAATTTGAAATCAGTTTGTAGAGGATTATATCCATAATTCATTCTTAAACTTGTATTTTCAATTGTACAAGTCCAGTAGGATAAAGCAAAGTGTTGGTGGAAATTCACTGGTTAATCTTTTACTACTAGTATAAGAGGTAGTTGGTTTGCTTTGTACAAGATATTCGACAATGTGTCTAGAAGATATGCTGTTGGCCAGAGGTTCAAACATTTTCAGTATTTCTAGTTGGACAACGTCCATTTTAAGACAATTTATTTAAACCGTTGATTGTTTTTTAATTATATACAGTCGGACCTCCTTATAACGAACTTCCATACAACGAAAATTTCTATATAACGAGTTTTTTCCTGTCTCTTGAAAATTTACTGTTTCTAGAGAACGAAAACAATTTTTCTATAATTAGCAAAATGTAAAAAAGTTGAAAAAAATATCGACAATTTTAAAAAAAATATTTGTTAGTAAGCAAACTAGAATTTTTTTTTCCAGACAAATTCTATATAACAAACTTTCTATATGGGGAATTTTCCTGGAACCGTCATGTTATCTTTTAGTAAAAATATTATGTATTATAGATTAAATCCTGTTCATATGTACAAATGTTATCACCTCCCGAAGAAATATTGTTACGGCGAATCAGTAGAAATTATCAGCAAAGCATTAGATAGAAATAAATATATTTTGTAAGAACATACAGCTTTTTGCAATTGTATGCTTATAAATTAACAAGCTTCATATTGTTTAGTTATTTCATCATCTAGAAAACGGTCCATTAAAAATAACAGTCAAACAATTAAATAACTTAGCACAAGTAACTGCAGGTAATAACAGAAAAACTGTTTGGAAAAACGACTGCTTTGCTGCACGGTTTATAAATAACAAAAATTGTTACAACTTGTTGGAAAATTTTAAATCAGTTTGTAGAAGGATGTTTCCATGACTCGTTTTCAAACTTGCATTTTCAAGTTTTAATATGGATGGCAGTTTCAATTTTTTGCCATCCTTACCGACCTTATTCAACTCTGGCAGCACCGCTTTGTTGAATAAAAACTCAACGGCATTTGTTATCAGCATGTCTGGTATTGGTCCGATGTTGGTCTTCATCAAGCTAACGCTGAAAAAATGTTTGGTTATCTTCCAGTGAAGAGTATTGCCTGATAGACTGAGGCTGGCATGTACTAGGAGGTCTAAGGAAAATATAAAAAGTTCCTGTATTTCATTATCAGCTGTCTTCACGTAAAATGCCGTCGTTGCGTTCTTGAAATAAATTCTCACACTCTCATTCATCACATGAAAGCTTGGTGTCTCAGTAGCTTTCACTTCAATTTCAATGTAAGATTTTGGGTAAAAAAATCTTAAGGTAGGGAAGAAGAAGCCAATGCATGTGTAACTCCAGCAGGAAGAAGCAAAATGTTGGTTAAAATTCACTGGGTAATCATCTTTTAATATTCTTCTCTGAAGTTTGTTCATCTTGTAAAAGGCATTCAGCACCGTTTCTACAGAGTATCTTGTGAGCCAGACGTTCAACATGCGAGATTCCTCGTTGTCAGTTATAATATTGGCTGCCTACAAAATACAGATTTGGAGATGAGAAAAATACAGTGATGTTACATTGATACTTGACAGATAAGCAATTTAATGATTTAAAAACCTGGTAAGAGTACTTTTCAAAGTTATTTTTTCCGAAAAATTCTCCCTTTAAATTGATTTCAACGTATTTTTCTTTTACGATTGGAACATCAGTGAAAGATAAATCTACATCTAGATGTCTGTTAAGTGCAGTCCTGCGGTTGACAAGTATTTTTACCTTCTGCAAAGCTTTCTCTATCATGCTGCAAGGCTTCTCGAGTCGTTTTGTAAACAGGCCTTTCAGGAAGTTATAAAATCCACTGTTCGGTCCTTCAAATTTTATGTCCAAGTTTTTAATGTTCGTAAAACATTTGTGAGAAGATATTTTGATGTTGTGGTCGTCAGCAGAGTCAACTTTCACCAGCAGTTCCAAATTAATTTGTTTGGCTTCGATCTTAACATTACCATCGGCAAATACTTTCTTCTTCGTTCCATAGGCCCAGTTTGTCCCAAGAGAGATTGATCCGTTGGAGAGGGTTAGATTCAGCCCATTGATGGATTCAACCAGAGCTACTTTCAATGAGGTTAAGGAGGTCTCAATGATCTGGTATAATGGAAAACATAGCGTTTTAAATTTTTACAAGTATTATATAATTGCAAAATATACGAAACGGTTTTTGTCTCACTTTAAAATCGGTTAGATTGTACAAAATATCACCAAAAAACGTTTCTATGACGCCACTCTTATCGGGGATCTTCATGCCATTCAGATCTACAATCTCGTTCTTTCCGAACGATTCGACGAGACTACTTAGAGCTTCTTGAGACACTCTCACCTTCAGGCCTGGCTTCTGAGGCAATAAGCTGCATGGCAGAATCGGAAAAATTAGTAGTAGATAGCTTGAGAAAAGTATTGGCGCAAACATTTTTATCGTTAACTCAACAAATTAAATTCTCAATTTATTTAAACCAGTGGTTGTTTTCTTGTTATATATATATAAATACAAATATATATAAATATATATATATATATAAAAGCGCGTTTCAGTGTATAAATATTTCTGTAGATATATTCATAATGTGTAGATATATATATATATATCTCCTTTTGAAGAGATACTAGGCCAATTGTAAATATTAGCAAAAAAACGAGAGAGATAGAAAGAAAGGAACGTAAAAAAGAAAGAATAAAAGAAAGAATGAATGGATGGATGAAACCAAATAAGAGAATCATTCATAAATTGAGTAAAGTGCGGTCTAACAACAACAATAACAACAATAATAATAATAAATAATAATTATCAGTGGTAATAATAATATATTAAATAATAAAAATAATAACAGTAGTGTGATAAAACGTCTTGAGGAGAACTCAAGCGATAGAATCACAATGGTAATCTTTCATTACGTACTTCAAACAAGAAGCCATTGAAGTCAATTAAAATTTACATCTACTTGCGTTTAACGTAAAAACGCTCACACTGTGAATGTGTGTGCGCGCGCGTGCGTGTGTGTTTATGTGTGTGAGTGTACGCATGTGTGTGTGTTTGAGCCTGTGTGTGTGTATGAGTGCGTGTGCTGATGTCTGAAAAGAAAATTATTAATGGATCCTGGTTCTCTTAAAGACGACGATGATTAAAATGTAATGATGATGATGATTGTGGCAATGATAATGATGATTGTGGTACTGATAATGGTGATTGTGATGATGATGATGATGGCGAAGAGGATAGTGATAGTATATCATTGTAATTTCCCCGATTCGTCCCCACTACAATGCCGTTCTTTGAATGTTGTCTTGTGTCATGTTATAAACTTGAAAATCGTGCAAGATGATAATTATCATAATTAATTAATTATGCTATTAATTAATTAGTTAGTTAATTATGTTAATTAGATGAAATTAAATTAATTTAGCAGATAAAAATTTATTTCTATTGATTTTTTTTTTAGTAAAATTTCAATTATACAAATATTTAAATAAACGAACGAACAAACGAACGAATTGATCAACGAATTCATAAATTGATCATAAATTAATAAATGAACCTAAGGTCTTTTTGAAATTGAATTTTTTTTCATTTCATCTTGAAGCATCAACTAGATTTGAACCGACCGATACATCAGATTGAAATATGAAATTTATTAAAATCTAGAAATATGAAAAAAGATTTTTTTTTTCAATATAAAAATCAGGATTAATTGAAATTTAAAAATTCAATTTCTTCCGAAAATAAAATAAATTATGTTGTTTTTTGATCTGAATAAATTAAAATGATTGGCTCGTTTTGAAGGATTGTTGAGTTGTTGAAATCGAATTTGAAAAAAAAGGAATAACTTAAGCGATGGCGCCAATGAAATTAGTGAAAAACCATCATCATCATCATCAACAACATCATCGTCGTCATCATCGTCATCATCAATAACATCATCATAATCAGCAATATCGTCGTTATCATCCTAATTATAAATAAACCGAATACAATGAAGTTAAGAAAACATGTTGAAAAAACCACACAAAGGTTTAAACACCACAAACCTACGAAAAATGATAAAAATTGTTTAGATAAAAAACAAACACATCGTCCTTCACATTTCAGACCACATAGTTTGTTGTTGTGCAAACAAAAACTACAGACACACACACACAACACATACGCACACAGACGTACACGCACACAGACACACATCTCAATACACGTACAAGGTTGCCACACATTATAACTAGCATATAGATACAGACAAACAAACCCATAAGTTCTGTTAATTTTATTATTATGCTGTGTTGTATAGCTTAATGTACACATACAAATACATGCACCGCACACACACACACACACACACACACACACACACCACATACACACACATACACAAATATATACTTTTTTCGAAAAGTTCATTTTATTCGATTTTGGCCAAATAACAAAGGTTGTCATTCCATTGAATGTTTCGACATAAAACCCACGGTCAAACCTCTTTCTTTCTCTTTCTCTCTATATATATCTCTCTCTCTCTGTTTCTTTCTCTTTCTCTCTCTCTCTTTCTCTCTGTCTCTCTCTCTCTACACACACAAATATATAATTAAAATAAATGTGTTTTATTAGAACTTTTAACATAGATTAGATGTTCTAAATTAGTAAATTCTATCTATACAAAGAGTATATAAATAAATAAATAAATATATCTACATATATATATATATATATATATATATATATATATATATATATATTCGTATATATTTAATAAGTGTTAGGTAAAGTTTTTCTATAAATAACACATGATCAGCATATGTATATATATATATATGATATATATATATATATGATATATATATATATATATATATATATATATATATATATATATTAGGGCTGTTTATATATAAAGGGCTAAGATATGGGAGAAGGTGATATGAATAAAAAAAAACACGAAAAACTTGTAAAATGTCAACTGACTTGAAGGTTTAAAAATGATTTGAGAAACCGCACGATTATTCTAAGTAATGAAACAAGCAAACGAACGAACGGACAAACGAACGAACAAACGAACGAACGAGCGAACGAACGAAGAGGCAGACACACAGACAAGAACAAACAAAAGAAAAAGGACAAAATTGTTGAGACCACTTGTAGTTTTCATATTTCAAACACAAATCACTAAAGTATAAAGAACGGTATAATAAAATAATCACAATAAATAAATATGAAAATAAGAATAATAAAAAACCTCACAATGACGTCAAAAACGTACAATTGATTTTTCATTCTCATTCAGCTTTCTGGTTCAAACAAGCTCGACGCATTTGTTTCCAATACATTTCCGCCTGTACACTCACAGAGAAACGTACACAAATAAAACGTGTACTGACTACACACACACACACACACACACACACACACACACACACACACACACACACACACACACACACACACACACACACACACACACACACACAAACAAACACACCACACACAAACACACATACGCATATACACACACTTATTCACAGTACAACATTTAAACATAATACACAACAACAATTCAAATGTTTGAATACAAAATGATACACGTATAAACATATGTATCTATTTAGTATCCTGATACACGCGTATTTGCATCAATCAATGCCTACCAACACACACACAAAAACGGTTACTACGTATGTTTGCATGTACTTAAACACACTACACAAACGCACTACATACAAACACATGATTTTCAGTGTTTATTGTGATAAACAAGTTTGTATGTTCATGTTTATATAATGGACTACTATTGCTATTAAAAATGTTTTTGAAATGTTTAGAGAGGGAAAAATTGAATCTCATGAGAAATTGAAATAAACAACAGAAAGTACATTTAAAAAAAATGATTAATCCGACACAAAATTATCATTATTATTAATATTAATTCTATAATTATAATTTTATAATTATTATTATTAATTACTGCAGAATCATCTCAATAATCATTGTACAAAATGTAAAGGTAGCTTTAGAGAAAATTTGATTTCAAAATTCATCTAATCGCGAACAACAACAACAACAACAACAATAATAATAATAATAAATAATAACAATAATAATAATAAATAATAATCATAATAAGTAGATAAACGTGTAAAAAAAACAAAAAACATTCAACAACGGAATAATGATGAGTAAAAATTAGTCTAGGTGGCTAATGAAATTGACTGGAGTGTCAAGCCAAAACTTTCCTAAGGTATAATGTTATCTAAAAAGGAATGAACGAATGAATGGATGAATGAATGAATGAATGAATGAATGGATGAATGAATGAATGAATGAAAAAATGAGTGAATGAATGAATGAATGAATGAATAAATGAATGAATGAATGAATGGATGGATGTACGAACGAAGGAATGAATGAATGATCGAACGAATAAATGAGACGACGGATGGACAGACGAATGAATGAATAATGGAATGAATAAATGAATAAATAAATGAAAAAACGAATGAACGAATAGAAAAAGACAATAAATCAAATGAGTGAGCAAGTAAATGAATGAACAAAAAAGGTGAAGACTGCAAAATTTCAAACGCTAGTGCGTCTAAACGATCAAAATATTTTCAAACGTGCAAGTGAATGTTTTGTATACACACACACACACGTACACACACACGCACACACACGCACGCACACACACACATGTGTATGTACACGGAAGATGTAGTATGATATTGATTTGGTTGGCTGTATATACGAGCACAAGATTGAATTAAATTACATTCCTAAACATTTAAGAATTGAAAAAAAAAATTCAATTAAGAGTAGAGTGATGAGTAATGAATATTATAAGTAAAAAAATTAAAGTTTTATCACCATCGTCGTCGTCACTATCATAATCATCATCACCATCATCATCAGCAGCAGCAGCAGCAGCAGTAGCATTAGCTGCGTCAGCTGCGTTAGCAACCTTAAAATCATAATTCCTATTATCACCACAGTTATCGTCATCGTCAACATCTTCCTCTTCTTCCTCCTCATCATCATCCTCATCGTAAAATGATTCCTGCTACTACTACTACTACTACTACTACTGCTACTACTACTACTACTACTACTACTAATACTACTACTACTAATACTACTACTGCTACTATAATCACACCACGGGCACGGGAAATATTCTAAGTGGGGAAAAAAATTATGCTAAAGTACTAGCAAATCAGTAACACACAGTATGATACACGTGCATTGCGGTAGTATTAGTATCAGTAATAATAATAATAATAATAATGGGAACTCTTTTATTTTTTTCCAAATAAGGGCGAAATAAATATTCAATGAAATAAAGTAAAATGAAATAAAATAAATGAATTAAAGATGAGAAAGTAATTTACGCTGCTCGCCATTATAGATATAAAATGCGTACAACGAGAAATATAATCAGTAATAATAATAGTAATAATAGTAAATATAATAGTAAATAAATAATAGTAAATAAAAAAATAATAGTAATAATAATTATAATAATAATAGTAATAATAATAGTAATAATAATGGTAGTAATAGAAGTAATAATTTCATTTATATATCACAATAAGTCTGAAAAGAAGATGTAAAGCTTTCTGTAATCGTAAATGCCCGCAGCCAAAATTATTAAAATAATAATAATAATAACAATAATGATAGTATTAATAATAATAGTAATAATAACGATAATAATAATAATAGTAATAAATAAATAATATAATAATAATATTTATTATTATTTATTTGTAATAAACCTCTAACGCGTTATCAGCGACCACCTGCTGCTGATTGTACTTCTTGAACATGCGTACGAATGACGAAAGTATGGGCTCGTCGCAGGATTTCACTAACTCCGGGAAAGCACTCCTAAAATGTCTGGTGGCCTCCTCGAGGTGGTAGTGGGGTATTTTGGTGAACATGTGGTGCATTTGGTGGGTGCCTATGCAGTGGATTGCGTGGTGGACCAGCCCGTAGTTACGGTCAATGGTTGAGAGTTGACCTTTTACGTAGTTCCAGCTGGGCAAGATTTTTTTTTTAATTTTGTGGTGGGTGGATTTTTGGTGGTTTCGTGGCGGTTTTGTGGTGTTTTTTTAGTGAGTAAGTATGTGTAGTTGAAGTTGATTTTAAGTTTCAGTTGTTGTTTAATGTAAAAAAATTTTTTCTTTGAAATTGCTTTTTAAATAATTCTTAAAATTTTTAAAATGTGAATAATTTGAACAAATTGAAATGAATGACTGAAGAGAGCGACTAACTTTTGATCAGCATACCAAGGAATATTGACTTCACTGTGGTGCAAAAAGGTAACGATAACCATATAACTCCCATAAATGAAAAGCGGTGCTAGGTAGAAAACGAAGAGAATCTTGAATCCGTAACTCAAATAAAACCAGTAGCAGAGAGTCCCGTTCATCCCGTAAGTGAGCAACGAGAGGGTGCAAGCAACTTCGTGGCCCCTGAACATCTCGTCAAACAAATTGAAATGGCTGACCCTTCGTGGAAAGTAGCCAATGAAGAGGTACGTGAACCAACCGATTCCGTAGCCAAAGCCAGGGAGGACGCTGTTGATGCTCGGCTTCTGCGAAGCTCGGGCTGGGTAGAAGACCTGGAAATTATCAATAATTATAATATTTATAATAATTATAAACAATTATAAATGGTTATAATAATCATTTTTATACTTCAAACATATTATTTCGCCTGTGCGTCATGTTTTTTAATGAAACCAATCTTCAACTACGTCACATCAAATAACGCAAGAAAAAAAAATGAAGAAATTGTTCACAACAATCGTGTCAGCAACACTGCAAACTCACCTCATCCTTGTCCATATTCCCGGTGAATTTGTGGTGGTTCTGATGGGTGAGCTTCCACTGGTAGTAAGGGACGAACAGGAAAGCGTGGCTGATGGTCCCTACGACATCATTAAGCAGACGATACTTGGAGAACGACCCATGCCCGCAATCATGCCCCATCACAAACAGGCCCATGAAAAAAGTCCCCTGAATACCCCAGTAGACGAAAATCATCAAAACCTTCAACGCAATCCAATTGGTCAGGGGTAGGAGGTACCACAACAGCACCCAGGCAAATAATATCTGCACCACATCCTTCAGGGCGTACAAAAGAGATCGGCAGGTGCTCGGCACAAAACAGTGGCTTGGTATCACTCGCTTGATCTCAATGACTGATGGCAGATTTTTTGGTAGTTGGGTGTCCAGGTTTATTCCTCGGATTTTAGTTTGCGGGTTTGAATACAGGAACGCTGCTTTTATTAGGCTTGCTATTATGGAGTTAACCTCAGTTACACAGTTCATTAGATCGCTCAGTGGGAACATCATTTAACAGAGGGCTTGGGTAAGTTTGCAGATTTTTATAGGATTGTTTCAAAATTAATTCTTTTTATAGTAACTATTATTGAACGTCAATTAACAACTGTTTATAAATTAACAGAGGAAAAATATGTATGAAAACTTTTGTATCATATCAACGGCTCTTTTAAGAAGAGTTTTGTAATGTCGTATTGTCGAGAAGAGGCGAGTTTTCGAGATGTTAACCTTACTAAATTGAAATAGAAACTGTCCTATTACCGCTATCTCATCGTTAATAAAAACAAATAACTCACGTATAGAAGTCAAGCTACCATTAAAACACCAGACCCAAGGATTGACAAACCACAAGAGATAACCCTCACACTACAAAATCCAGCAATAAAAACTGATGATAATGAGGATTATTATTATTATTATTATTATTATTATTATTATTATTATTATTATTATTGCTATTACTATTATTATTAATTTTTTTTAATAATAAAAACTCTAATTGTTACGAAATATTCAATAAAATCACTACTACCAAAAAATATCCTATATAAAATTTATAGGTAGATGATGATCATCCAAAAGATAATCTACAATTTCCTAATGCAACCACACGAATATAATAGCTCTACATTTAATTTTGCGTCAGCGTCTGAGTTTGTAACACATTTTATGTATACTAATATATACATGTATATATATATATATATACAAGTATAAACATACAAATATACATACATACATACATACATACATACATACATACATACATACATACATACATACATACATACATACATACATACATACATACATACATACATACATACATACATACATACATACATACATACATACATACATACATACATACATACATACATACATACATGCATACATACATACATACATACATACATACATACATACATACATACATACATACATACATACATACATACATACATTTGGTTCATTTGGTTTTTCAGGTCATGCTTTTGCGAACGACTTGCAAATTATTGTTAAGAGCAGGCCAGATTCTTTTAAATCAGAATTGGACAAACTGGTTAAATGTTTGTCTGGGGTCAATAAGTGGATGCAAAACAATGGTTTAAAACTAAACCAAAACAAGACTGTTTTTTTACCAATTGGAACATGGCAGCAACTTTCAAGAATAGATATAAATTCAATAACTGTTAATGATGAGGTCATCGTATTTTGTCAGACAGCAGCTAATCTAGGCTTCACGATTGATTCAGGTTTGTCAATAAAACAACACATTAAGAAGCTCTCAGCCGAATGCATGTTTCAAATCAGGAAAATCAATCAAATTCGACGATCCCTAGATACATCCACGTTGCAGACGTTGGTTCATGCATATGTGCACTCACCCGTCGACTATTGCAACAGTTTGTTTTATGACTTACCTGATCGATCTATGGCTGTACTTCAATCAATACAGAATCGAGCCGCAAAAGTTGTTGTTGGAGCTCTAAAATACGATCATGTGTCTCCAATATTGAAGGAACTTCATTGGCTAACCGTCGACAAAAGAGTGTTGTTCAAAATTTCAACACTTGTCTACAAAACTATCAACGGTCTAGCTCCATCTTATTTGTCTGACAGGTTCAAAAAGAGATCTTCAAAAGCATTTGGAACACACTTGAGATCCGATGTTTCAAACCTGCTGTTGATCCCAACAACGAGTCTCCGTATAGGCTCTCGTAACATTGCTGTTTCTGGACCAACTGTTTGGAATAACCTGCCTGCTGCTCTCAGAAATCCGGACCTAAACCTGCGTGATTTCAAGAAGGAACTGCAAACTCATTTATTTTCATTGTAATGCATTATTGATCAATTCTTTCTGTTTAGTCGACATGTTCTAAGTATTATTTCGTATTTTCGTTATATTGAATCGATTACTTTTCTGTTTATGACCAAATTTTAATCTTATTTCTTTGCGATGTATTATGATTTCTCGTTTGTTATTTCAATTATGTTGTTAAGTTCAGTTTTTGTTAGATAGCGCTTTTGAGATTCCTTTAATTAGCGCTTCATAAATGTTTCAATAATAATAATAATACATACATACATACATACATACATACATACATACATACATACATACATACATACATACATACATACATACACACATTTTTTTGTATCGTTTTGTATATATTACTTGAACGAAGTTTATAAATGTGTATAGGATACATATGTATGTGTGTATATACAATATGTGTATGTATGTATATGTATTTATATATGTGTGCATGCATATATATACAAAACAATTTTGTGTATACAAAAGGTAGACATACAATCCTGATACAATTGTATATTTTTGTATATATACAACACAATGCTTTTGTATTGAGTGTAAAAATGAATTTGTATTCATATGCTTGTTCGTTTGGCGTTGTTGTTTTGTTTTATGATGGATATGTCAATACTATCCAACAACTTGCACTCAAAAAAATACATCGTCTATGGGAAAATATTGAATCTTCCTCCATGCACACACACACACACACACACACACACACACACACACACACACACACACACACACACACACACGAATATATAAAAATACACTCGCATATACAAAGATACAGAAATATACTAAGATGTAGAAAAATACAAAGATTCAAAAATATACAACGATGCAAATACTTAAATACAATAAATACTTTGTTTTATACCAATGTATACTAATTGCTACACAATAATATATTTTTTCACATATATTAATTTTGTATTTAATGCAACAAACACAAAACCAGCAATACATACAATTAACAAGGTACTCGAGCTTGCAAACAAAAATATAGACAAACGCACATACAAACCTCCAAAAAAAACAAGGATACACATATACAATAATTCATAAATACGTTCAAGTATAAAAAATGCAGATGCAGATACAAACAGTCCCACACAAACAATACCGTGCATACAAATTCAGAAATACAAAATTTCTTTGTACACTTAGTGAGTACGTAGTACACTGAAGTACAGTGCAGTACAAGCGG